TGGGGGCTGATGTGCTTTTTAAAAAATAATTAATCTAACACAGGATGAAGCTCTTGGGTGTGCGTAGTGGAATCTGACCTTTAAAAGGTTTTTGCCATAATTCATGTGAGAAGAAAAAGTAAGATTTTTTTTCAAGCTGATTCAGGTGCTTTTGTCCTGCACTGAACTTGTGCAGGATGATCTCTTGGGCCAGCAGCTGCCCCTCTCTGATCCCCTTGGAAATCCTACTGCATGCCTGGGTTCCAGGGCAGTGTATCAGGATGGAGGTGCATCCACAGCCCTGAAATCGGGACTCAGGTGGACCCAAGAGGTTGTTCTCATTGTTGTGGGTTTGGTTTAAATTCCTGGAAGAAGGATGTGCAAATGTAATTCAACCTCCCCTGGATTTTAATTGAAAGCTGTACATGTTTGTTTCTGTGACACATTGAGACTCCTCACAGAGCCTTTCCTAAGGCTCTAAGTTGGAAAGATGGTTCTTGGAGTGCATGTCAGGGAATGGATATTATTGTTTAGAAATTAAGCTCTTCTGAAAACTGCTTAAGTATGTGAAATGATTTCAACTGGTCAAAAACTTTTAAACAAAAAGCGAAATAATAAAAAATAATAATAATTGCAAAAGCATTTAATGTTTAAATTGTTTTGAATAATTTCTTTTTGCTGATTTGAGAACTGTGGAAGTTTGATCTGTTATATTCTTTGCAATGTTTTATTTTTAGTTTTATTTTCTGTTTCATGACCAAAGCATTTCCATGAGGCCTCTTCTAATGCTGTATATTTGCCCCTGCTCCAAGACTGTCAGAGGAAAAACCCACATGTATTTTTTTCTGCCTTTTTCTTAGAATTCTGTGTCATTTACATAACAACTTGCTGAAAGATACTTGTGTATTAGTTCTGCATTGTATATAGCAACATGACTTTTGGTTTTATTCAGAAGGAGGTAGATTATGTAATCAATTCTATGACTATTTCTGTAACCTTTTTCTTCCACTTTACATTTGAATCTTCCAGTTTAATAGGATGTCATTTCAAAGAGGTCTGATATGTATTATGTATCAGAAAACCTTATGCCTTCATGAAACAGAATACTAATTTCTTAGTAAACTGTTCTGCTGTGTCTCAAAACAAATCCTTTCGTTAGTGGATTCCCAGGCAGAATGGAGATGTCATTTATATCTTCAGTTCCTTAACTGTTCCTCTCTTTTTATGTTAATGCTGTTATAACATTAATATATGCATTGCTGGTAGATTTCTATATCCTGACATGTGTACTTCTATCTAATGCTGATGGAAGGGGAAAAAAATGTGAAAAATGTGAGTTTTTGGAATCCTTTGCACACTGTTAGATTTTGCATGCCTGGACACCTACAGTGCTGTCCCAGTCAACCCAGTTTGTAAATATTATTCACTTGTTTGTCTTTAAATCCCCCAGCTCCAGATGCCTCATATAGTCCTCCAACTACTAGATTATTGCATAAATATTTATTTCTGTTGTCCAGTTAATGCAGCTGTGCTTTTTCCAGGCTTTAGGATGAGGCAGAGGCAGGTGGTGGTGGATCCGGTGGGCGCCCTGGCGGGCTGTCCTCATTTGGCGGAGTCCATCCCGTGTGAGGACGCGCGGTGCCACGAGTGGGAGGTGTCGGAGGGAGCCTGTGTGACCGACCACGGGCACTGTGGGCCTGGGCACCGTGTTCTCAAGGCTGTCTGCAGGAGCAGGAAAGGTGAGCTGGGCTCTGCTCTTAAATACCCCGTGGATTTTTGTGCCTCCTAAAATGACGTTTTGTTCCAGAGCGATTGGCGCTTATGTACGATGGCTCCTTACTGAATTTTTAATGAAACTTTCAGATTTTTGAGTTGGCTGTTTTGCTCCTCAAAGCCTGGGGCTGGTAGAACCAAGGATTTTGCCTGGAGCCTTCTGTTCCATTTTATCCTAAAGGGAATGGCTCACCAGAGCAGGTTCTGTATTGTCATTTCTGGCCTTTTTACCACAAAAGTGGGATATTTGTACTAAATGAGGGCTCTCACTGAGGTCAGCAGCTCCATGGTCATTTAGAATATCAATCCAGCTCCCAGAAACTCTGGTTTTAGCCTGTGGTCTGAATAATTCTCTCATTGGGGTAACACTGTTACAGTCACGAGCAGGGATGCTCCGTTGTGCTGCCAGAATTAATACAGGTCTGAGATGTAAATGAAATGATTGTACTGAGTAATCCTTCCCTTGGCAGCAGTTTGAGACCTGCAGAGTGTTCAGTGTACAAGTTGCTAATAATGAATAAGTACATTTTTATGTGACGTTTACAAACAGCCAGCAAGATGTTATTTCTTGTGTGTGGTTTGAACCTCAGCCAAAAGTTTCATTTCTTGATAAGGTCACTGTTGTCAGATCTTTAGATTCAATTACATGGAGCACAATTTTGCAGTCCTTAGTCACAGCAAGACTGTGCTATCATTTCAAAAGTGGCAAAACTGTGCAACTTTAGAGCCTGATATTGTATCTGAAATGGAGAATTACTCTTTTACAATTTCAGGGTGATAACAAGTGGTTAATTGGTAAGTGGTTAATATAGTGGGTTGTTTACGAGGCACTAGAACCTGGTAGAGAGAAATAATGGCTGCTTTGTCTGAGAAGCACAGATTCCCTTGAAATATATTTAAATCTGTGTGGTTTTCTTGTCAGTTTGTGAGAATGGGGGGGAATAAAAGAAATCTTCATCTGTTACAAAATGACACAGGTAGAATGTCAAGGAGAGCAAAGAGCTCACTCTGAATTTTGCCCGAGTGGTCTCTGCTGGTGTGTGATGATTCCTGGAGGTCCAGGCCAGCAGGATGAGTGCAGGTGGAGGCTGGCATTGCTGAGGAGCACCATGCACTTCACACTGCTGAGGCTGTGCCAGCATCCATCTCTGTGCCCCAGCTTGTGCTGGGACAGAAAGTGTGTTCCTTGGCAGGTGCTCACTGATCTCTGATCAAACTGTTCTCTGTCGCTATGATCCTTCAGAAGCCAGGCCTTTGAAGTGTCTCTCTTTCACTCAATTGTTCAACAAGGTGTTGGAAGTCTCACAACATGCTTTTCATTTCAGTTATTCTGTGCATGTTCTAGTTACAAAAAAAAAATATTTGGTGGGACAGTCTTCCTACTCCTCTAGCCTGAGACAAACATTGTTACTAGATGTGATCAGGGTCCACTTAAAACTGAGAAGGTTTCACCAGGAAATGTGAAGGGAGGTTACCAGGCAGGTTGGAATCACTGCTTAATATTACTCTGTAGACTTTCTGAAGTCTTGATTGAGTATGAGAGGTCTGGAAGAGTCCTTACAATTGAAGCTGGAAAAAGAGTCACATTATTTCTTCTCTCAATTCACTAACGTAGTTGCTTTGTTCATAACCTTATTTATTTCCTTCTGTAATGTTCTTTTACCTAGATTTCCTTTGCAAAAAGTAGTCTGCTTTGCTTTTGGATAGAAGTTGGAGTAAGTGTCAGCTTTGCTTAATGTGTTTTACTTGGAGTAGCTGGTTAGTTGGCAGTAGGAGGCCAGAAGGGAATTATGTTAAACTGAGATGTGTCATTTACAGGTGAAATAGCATGAGGCCTTTGTCCATGCTTAGCATTGTACACATGCTCAGTATTCTGTGCAAGCAATGGCCCTGCTGAAAGCTGTGTTGTGTGCTGCTATTTTCATTTACTTAAGTGTCTTTTGTAGAATTCAGCTCAAAAATCCAGTGATTTATCCAGTCATTCTGTCATCCATGCTTGGCATTATTGCTCAGCATTCCTACTGAATGCCTGAAGGGATGAAAAAAAAATTTTTTGGAACCTGTTAAATGCCAAATCCAGTATATCATCAACTTAACAGTTCATTTGGGCCTGGAGTGTGTTGATTAGGGTACTTTGGGTTGTCTCTGTATCCCTGCCAGCAAGATGCCTTCATTTTCATGTAAATGCCAAACTTTGTGGTGTGGTGCTCTCCTCGTGTTGCTGCAGTCTGCTCCCTTCTCTTCATGAGCAGTTTCTGTGCTGTTGGTGTCAGCTGTGCTGCAGAAGGGTTTTCCACCAGGCTTCGTGTCCTTCCCTCCCTTCTCCATCCTCAGTGGCTGAACCCATGTCCTTCATAACCTGTGCTTTTCTGTGTCACACTGGGCTCTTCATGGCTCAGACACAGGAGGCCTTTCCATGTGGAGTCTGTTTTTTCACTTGCCAAAAAGGAGCTTTTGGCCACCACATTTTCCTTCTCCCATGTACTGTCCACGGTGCCAGCCCATGCCATGAGAGAGGTGAGTGGGGTGCAGGGGCTAGAGAATCTCTCTCACCAGCTGAAGCCTCACCTTTGAATCCCTTGTAGTCTCCTGTCCTTCCATGGTAAAGAGCCATCATTTCTGGTGAGATTGTTACACTGGGCTGGGTAACAAACTGCTGCTGGCCTGAGCTGGAGCTTGGGCAACTTGGGAACAAGTCACAGCTGGGTCAAGCTCTGATTTGTGGGGTTTCTCTGAAGGCTTCCCTCTCTGTGTAAGGGCTTGTGTGAAGTTCAATGCTATAACACTTGTGCTCAGCCCAGAGGTACAGAAATGGCTTTTTGCTTCTTAAATAGGTTAATTTGTAATGGTGAAGTGGTTCCACAGAGCACATACTATGGGCAGCAGGGTTTTATGTAGTAGCTGGAGTCTGTAATTTGTGATTTGCAGTGCTTTAGCACAGATGAGGAGTAATGAGAAGACAATACTAATCTCATTACTTTGTCATTATTAGGTGTCTGCTCCCACCTAGGAGTGTCTCTAATCTCTGTTAATAAGTTACTGAATATGTGCAAGATACTCTTAGTGTCTGGTCCATATCCCTTGAGTGCTTCTCTTCTATATCAACAAAAGGCAGTAGTGTAATAAGTCAAATTAAATTAAATACTGTATAGAAACACAATGTCAAGTAATGGATAGAATAGAAAAAGAGTTCTTTTGTATGTTTCTTATAAATAAATTTTTTAGGATGGTATCTTTTATTTAGGTGGTGAAGGTCAATAGATATATTTGGGAAAGTCTGTGAAGCCAGAAGAACAGTATAGGAAAATTGATGATAGTACTAAAAATTGGACTGTGTGTGTCATTGGCTACATTGATCTATACTTCAGATAAAAGAATTTATTTGAAAGCTCTTTTTTTATATTTGCAGACACCTCAGGAATTATTTCTGATTTTTCTCAGAGCGGTTGTTTTTGGTTGTTCAACAAGGAATTGAATAATTGCCAATTGCCTTTTTGTAATGTGTTCTTGGGCAGATAGCTGCAATTGTCTGACATTTGATTTTGGGCAGCCTTGATTAACACTGACAAACATTATTGTGCATTGACCAGATGAAAGGAACTCCCTGAAAACTTTCCACTTCACAAAACATGAACGTGGTCAAAACTTTTTCATTTTCAAATGCAGCTGTGCAGTAGCCAATGCTTATTGTGTTTCATTTTTTTTTTTAAGAGAATGACCAAAATCATCTTTTGCTTCTTTTGTCTTTGTAAGTGGTACAAGCATTTTGAGTGTGGTGGGTCAGGGGACGTTCAGACATCAGGGCTTGGCTCTGGGTCAGCAGGCAGAACTTCAGACAGGAGTACTTGTCCTTCAGAGGTAATTTCACAGTTGTTTGATTTAGGTGCTACAAAATAGATAAACATGTTGGGTTCAGTCTGATGGAGGAATTCGGGCACTCATTTTATTGGCATTTTCCCATATCTGTTTTAGGCTGCATTGATAACAGAAAATGAGATTGAAGCAAAACAAATGTGGAACCAGACCTTGTTTTCAGAAATGCCTGTTGTGCAGCTTGTGCAGAGCAGTCATTATGGTAAGGAGTACAACCTGAGAACACATACGTAAAAGCAGCTATAACAATAAACTCATGAAATAACAAGTCTGACTCATAAAAGTAACAATTCATTTTCCAAGCATTTTATAAATGTTTCTGACGGTGCCATAAGCAAATTCTTGCCTATTAGCAGTGTTCTTGAGTAGGTCGTAAAATGTTATTATTCAGAATCATACCCACAAGTCATCAATCTATTTCAGTGGAATTCCCATGTCATCATTTATTAATTTGCTTTTGCTTGTTCAGATTCCTACCAGAAGAACTATTAGTAGCAGAGAGGATTTCTCTGAGACAGCGAACAGCGTGGTATCTAAGTAATCAAATATATGAAATAAGTCATACCCAAAGGCTTAATTGTTTTAATCAGAAAATTATTAGCTCAACAACAGGGATTAATGCAAAGGTCATGTGATTTTGCTGTATTCAGGCTCTTCTACTCTACTCCTGGTTAACAAATCTAAGCACAGCTCAAAAGCTGCTGAGTCTTTCTCTCCCTGTACTGTCAGCTTGGGTATCAGGGTTACTTTTGTTTGTGGAAGTTAAAATTCATGGGGAATGGTGTGAGTTGGAAGGGACTTTAGGAATCATCTCATTCCAGTCCCCTCTGCCATGGGCAGGCATGCCATGGGTTTGCTTGGGTAAACAATCCAGACTTGTTATAAATGGTGTCTTCATGTTAAGGACAGTATTTATAGCAGTGCTGAATAATCTCTCTGTTCCTTATGCAGAGTTCAGGCCGTGCCAGGGAGATGCAGGTGCTGAGGCAGAGGAGCAGAGCCCGGAGGGGCCCAGGATGCTGCTGACTCTCCCCTGCAGCACCTGAAGGGCTGGCCCTGGGCCTGTCACAAAACCTCCATCCTCAGCACCTCC